GCGGGAAATTCACAAACAATCAATAGTATATCCTGAAGTCATTGACATTGCAAGTGAAATACTAACTTACACCAATCATACACTATATTAAGGCATATTTTCTTTATTTTTAAACACTTCTAACCAAATTACGTCCCCTGAGAATCTCTAGTCTATTAGATGTCATTAGTGTGTATATCCCAAAATCTTTAATCACATTTTAATTACCTTCTTTGTTTATAGCATTTCAATAATTTTTAGTATGCTGGCTTAATTTGTTTTATGAGGAGAGATTTCAGGTAAATATCTTAATTTATTATCGTTTTGTTTGTTTCTAAGGCATATTCTATTCAACAGCTTCTCGTATTACTTACAGAAATTAAATCCCAACAATGCAAATATTTACGTTTCCATGCACTTTTAGTACAGTCTTGGAGATTGCAAAAAAGGCATTTTAAAAAGATGGGTCCGTGAAATAAAATAACCTAAGTCAGCCTCTTTTGTCATGCACTTGACGTGTATCAAGGTTTGGTTATAAAGATTTATCATCGTTTTTAAGAAATACCATCAGAATCATGATTTCATGTAAACGAAAGATTAGAAAATAACTTAATACTACGAAAAAGGGTTTGAACAAAATCCCGGGATCTACATTGTAAAGTCTATCGTGATATAAACAAATAAGCTAATAGCGGTAATACGGATAGCGACAAAGAAAAGAAACTTCAAATCCGATTCATAATATCAGCTTAAATACATCATAAATCGATTAAAAGGCCATCATACTTGACAGTAGGTATTTATTCATCATAGTGCTTAAGCGTCGGAATGTAGATTCAGAATTAATGTAAAATCCTTTCGACTTCGTCTAAAAAGGTCATTTTCGCAGGCCATGATAAAATCATTAGTGCTGCTCCATTAAAAAGTAATTTACCATTTCAATTAAGACACACGACCAGGAAAAACATCTCTGTCGATCTCTTTTATTTTTTTTTCTTTCCAGTGATTCTGTTTGCCTTAATCTCGTTGTTGATTATCATTTGGCAGAATAAATGTTCCGTTGCTTTTGTTTCTTTTTTTATCTTCACTTAGTGGACGTTATCATCTTCATTTTTCTCTTAGACGACATCTCCCCACAATAGGTGCCATCCATCATGGAGGTTCCCTGTCACATTGATTGAAGGTTCTACAGCATTTGGTGTTGGAGTGAACGACCAGGAAACGAGAAAAAAATAGGGAAATATAAATTTTAGTATGTTACTTACTTTTGTACATATAACTGTCAAACTGCAAGCACAAACGGTTATGCGATAACAATAGTATCACCAGAAAATCAGACTTAACGAAATACCAATATAAGGTTTCTTTCGTATATTACTATAAAAAATTGTGCTTATCACAAAAGTAACTTATACCAAATGTTACAGTAAAAAAGAACGAAGCAAAAATGGCAGTGTTGATCTTATATGAACATATTTTTTTTTCTATCTATCAATAAACTCTTCTAACTCTTCTAATCATTAATATCCATTATTTATATGCATACACACGTTTTTTTTATCTAACTACTTTGTATAGATGCCAGTTGTTCTGTGTGTGTGTGAGATATATAACCGATTTTATTTGATAATATATTTTATCGCTCTACTGTGTCGATTATTTTAACAGTTTTCGTTCTGACACGAGCAACGCAATAACTTACTTCCTCTTCGATCAATCTAACTGACGTATCAAGGCTAAGAAAGCTGTTTCAATTTACGTCAAGAATGTTGTGAACAATTGTCATCAATAAAGGGTTTTACTGATTTAAGTCTTGTTGGAGGAAAACGTTGAGCATTTGCGAAAGTAAATGAAAAAAACTTGATTGCAAATAACGACTTTCGCGAAGGCCCGACTGTTAACTAATAACAGAAACATCATAAACAATTCTAAACACCAACAGTACCACATATATCTTCATACTTAGCTTCCAAACTCACTTAAATCTTGTTAAGGATTTCTATTGTTTTAGACATAAAAAAAGTTAACAACTTTTATGTATCATTTCCGTATGGAAAATGTCATGTAAGACAGCAGGTGTCGGAGAGGGATATTCTGGCTACGTGCTGGATCTATTAGTTGAATCGTTTACTGGTCGATAACGAAATCAGAATAAACACACGTCTAGACAAAAAAACGTTTTCTTTCAGTTATTTTGTGACTTAGTAACTGTAAATATTGTATAAGTTTGAGTTATTTATCTTCTCAAAGCTCAACTGGTATTGCATGTGAATCTTTGAATTCCGAATACTGTTTGTTTTATAAAAATGACTGATTTAATAAGTATCACTTTTTATTGCTAGGAAAGCAACAAATTAAACTTTTGCTAATTACGAACTTGAGTTTGAAATTATTTGATATACTTTGCATTAAGCGTGTATGTTAGAATATTTCGATCAATAAATAGTAATTCTGACACCAGGGGTGCTAAAATAACCAAAATATTCTAAGAAATACCGTTTTTTCATGAAATTGCAATTGTTGTTTGTAATTAAGCACAAAGCTACACAAGGGGCTATCTGTGTGCTGCCCACCACGGGTATCGAAACCCGGATTCTAGCATTGTAAGTCCGCAGACATACCGCTGGGCCAATGGGGGCTGAAATTGCAATACCTATTTTTCTAGTTACGTATACCGGCAATTCACCGTAAAAATAAATGTAACTACACATTGGAAATGAGTGGTTAAGAAACAGATTTTATATCCTGAAGTAAGTGTTTAGTATGTTGTAAACAAACTTCGATATAAGAATCGATTTCCTGATAACATGCTGATTCTCTCTTACTCAGAGAATAATAATATATACTGGTTAGAGTTAGCATGCTTTCATCAGAAACTTGGTCTACTTATGTAATAATATAAATTAAGAAAACATGAATGCTACCTGTCACAAGGTGGCGCCATAGCAGCCACAAATAATTATGGGGAATGCGAACACATTGACAAAAATATACAAAAGTATAGATCTACAATATACAGCGACTTATGTTTGTGTATCTGTTTATCTGTCCGTAGCTAAACTGCTAAAACTTTCCGACTTTCGATCATCAGGAAACTTTCATGGATTCTTGAGTACGTCACAAATGCATTCTAAAACCACTTACTTTATCCACTTTATATATAAATGTGTGTGTGTGTATAGTTTGAGAACCATTTCAATTTTTACCGCTTCTACTGGCCCGAGTCCTTCGCTAGCTACTTGTTGTAACAAAAATAATTGAAAGCCTACGCATAAAATCTATTAGATGACATTGGAGACATATATCAAATAAAAAAATAAATATAAATATAGAGTGATTTCTATATCTTGATAAAGATTTGTTTGTTTGTCTGTACTTTTAACTCAAATTTACAAAAGGGGCTATTTGCGCTCTGTCCACCTCAGAGAATCGAACCCTGAGTTTTAGAGTTGTAAGTCCGTAACCTTATCATTGACTTATCGGAGACCCTTAATGTCAGAGTATAAATTTGAAATATACAAACAATTATATGCACATTTTTCAAATAATTTTATTTAGTTTTACGTAGAACAAAAATTCTATAATGTAAATGATAATTTGAAAATAAAAGTGATTAGCAGGTGATGAAACTTTTAACCAAGAAACACAAGAACCTGTCTAAAAACAAGGCTTAACATGTTTTTAAGTTCAGTATAGATTTATAACTCTGAAAAATTATTAAATGAATGATAGAGCATGTATTTGTCTGTTCCAATGGCGCTGCAATAGCAACATATGTGCAGTTCATCTACATTTGCACTTGAAGCCTTGCATGGGCTTAATTTATTATATAAATGTTCTTCTCTTTAGAAATCCTAGAAAATGCGTTCCCATATAAGAAAGACGAATTAAAAGTATAAATACATATAAACATGTTTTCAATTTGAGATAGTCTTTGTTATTTCTGCAGAATGATTTTATCTTTTATTTTTTCACTCTACACAAAACAATGATAGTCGGAATTTGTAATGCTGTAACTCTGACAAGGCAGAACTACTGTTGTAAAAAAAAACATCAGTCATCTCATTCAGGCATTTTATGATCTGTGATGTTAATGAGTGGTCATTCGGATTATACTGTATGCAAAGTTCACATTCTACTTCCTTTCAATTGTCATTTGAAGTTTAAAGAGATAATATGTATTCATGAGCAATGCTACACCTCAAGGAAAACACTAATGTTTCATTTATTTGGAGAGCCACAGGACATACGGAAATGAACCAACTACAGTAGGCTGTTTCGAACTGGCTAGAAGTGTCGCAAATTATTGTCAGCAGAATGAGGTAACACATCCAAACCAGAGGTTACAGCTCTTGGACAAGACAGGTTATCAACTACAACACAAGCAGACTACTTTTCTCTGCAAATTCTGGCCCATTTCAATCGTAGGAATTCTGCTCAATAGGACATCTGTATTATATGTTCGTAGCCTCAGCTAGATAGTGTACAAGCAATTAAAAGCAAATACCAAAAGACCAGCTGTCCCCCAGTGGGACAGCGGTAAGTTTACGGAATTACAGCGCTAAAATCCGCAGATAGCTTCATGTGGCTTTGTTCTAAACCAAAGAAACAAATAAATAAAATACCAGTCTGTATGTTAGATATTCAATGAAATGCATCCTACTCGAAAAAGATACGAAACACACCGCTTGCGTTGGCGCCAAAAACAAGACAGAAAACAACAACAATATGTAAAGTAATATATATATTACAGTTGAGTCGGATATTCATTCAGTTAAATCTACAACCAGCTCCAATCCCATTTTCATATAAGAACCAGAGTTATGTAACTTTGGTGGATCCATAGTGTGAGCAGAACTAAGCACAGCCGACCTCAACATCCTTCAGAATCGTGTATCACTGCTACAGATTCAGTGAAATACTGGTGCTATTTATCTTATTCTAATGATAATAAGACTCATCTCCACCGTACTGAATTTGTCAACACATCTCTTAAAAGAGCAAAGAGGGGGAAGCGGCCAAATGTAATAAACTGTACACTCACTACACCTCAACCCTACCATGTATTTATGGAATGCTATTGAATTTAGGCACTAAATATGCCCTTGAAACACCTCTTTCAGGGAGAAGTCAATGATGCTTCAGAACTTAATCGACATTCTCACTTAAAGGACGAAACATCGATACCAAGCTTTCTCTACTATTCGAAATAATCATACTCCTTTTGAAGTGAAACGTAATGAATTCTAAAAATGTAAAAATACCAAACTCTAAAGGCCACTGATATTATTTGACTTGCCCCAGGCACCTATGACAGACCACCAGTTACTATATTTCCATAAAAACTAACTCTGAAGGCAATTGATATTATTTGACTTATCATAGGCGACCCCGCTGGCACAGGGGCAAGTTTGAAGGCTTATGATACTAAAAATTGGGTTTCGATACCCACGGTGCGCACAGCATAAATAGCTCATTGTGTAGTTTTGTGCTTAGCTATATACACACAAATAAAAGCAATTGATTATACATCTGAACGTTCTGAGAAGTACTTGGCAAACATAGACAATTGAGGAACTATAGTCTCTGTAGTGGTTAAATAATATTGACGTTTAATAAAAATATCTAAATACTGGGCTGAATAAAAAGACTGGTATGTAGTTTGTTCTACTCTCAATATATTGAAGAATAATAAAAAGAGACCTGTATTTATGTTGATGGCCTACTTGTGTAAAAATGTAATCATGGAGTAATTAAAAGTTTTCTTTAGTCTGTAATAACTTATATTTAAAAATGATATGGTTATTTTTAATGAAAGACTGTTCATAGTAAACGAATGTTTGGATTGTTTGAAATAACCACATCCGAAAATATAATTGGATTCATAAGAACTTATATAGAGGTTTGGCAAGTTTACATTAAAACTTACTCTCACAGGAGTGCCATCTTGTTGGTTTTAAATCTTATTCTTAATAATCATACGATTATTAAAACTTCAAAATTTGTAGGAACGGAAAATATAATTTCTGGTGAATGAAATGCATTTTCTGGAGCTATTCGCCGAAGTGTTCACATCCAAATGGATTTAAACTAGATTAGCCACTGAAGTCACTGGATCATCATGAAATGTGCTAGTATATAAAATACTAAAGCTTAAAGTATGTTCAATGACAGTAGTGGCAAGGA